TTGTACCCCTGTTTTGTCTTTGTTCCAATAGGCCATCACATCATCTTCAAGCATATGGGAGTTGACATGGGGCAAAACATGGGGGAAAAGAACTCAGAAAAGGGGGATTTGTTTATGTTTAGTTTGAACGTTCCTTATGAGACTTCTCTTTGTAGATGTGTTATGTCCACTGGTGCATGACACACAGGAAAAAAATACAGTGATTTTACATTCAGTAAAAATGTCACAACAGTACATACTACGGGCTTCAGCCTCTGAGAGAACCCATCCAGTGGTGTGCAGAGATGTCAGACGCTTGAAGTACTGTGACCAGTGTGGGATGCCACATCTTAAGAAGATATTGCAAGAAGACTCTTTACTAAGGAGGGGTGAAGTGGCATTACGAAGTCAGCCTCCAATTTGTGTGTGATGGGCAATAGAAATTAGGGACATGTCACCACCAAGAAGACACTAGTTTTATTTTGGAAGCTAAACAGTGTTGGGCCTGATTATTCCATGGAGCACCCCCAAGTGACCACCAGAGTTCTTCAGGCAGGACTAGGAAAGAATCTGTCCTGAAACCATGAAGGTTCCCTGCCATTCAGAAGGGAAGAGGCTGAACTGGATGATCTGCAGTCTGACACAGCAATATGCATCTCCCTCTGTTCCAAAGTGCCATGGAAATTGGGGCATTTCTATGCAGTTATTTTTCCTAGTTTCTCTGACCCACACATTCTCAGAGTGCCCAAGGACACAAAGTAATTGGAGAGATGCATACCATTCTATCAACCATGTGGCTGGTCTCACATGCATGGTAGTAGACAGGATGTGAATGTGTCTCCCCTACTACCCCGGCCTTTATCATATATGACCAAATATCTTCAGCTTTCACAGCCTGATGCTCTTAGCATGTTTTGGACTATAACCCTCCTCAAATGCAGCCAACATGGTAAAGAGTAACTGATGATGGATGTTGTGGCCCAAAACATCTGGAAAGCACTAGGTTGGGAAAGAAAAATATGGATGGTTAGCCCTATGTATTAAAAGCAGCACTCCTGTGGGAAAGAACAATCAAGAAATCAAAAGGTAACCATAAAAAATTTACTTTGGAATAGTGGTTTGAATTAGGCTTTATATAGGGCAAAAGAACAATGTTGACAGAAGCATTATAATTCATTTTGCCCCAATGCAAAGCAAAACCTCTATGGCTTGCCAAAAGTGACATCTTTGTGATGGATGAGAGAACATCCATGAAGGTGCTACTGATCATTTGCTGGAAGACTGTGGGGATAGCATTCAGCATAAAGGTATTGATGTCTGTTTAAGGACAGTTTCAGTCTCCCACCTTTCTCTCTTTTTCTTAAACTCCTCTATTTTTCTTTGCATCTGGTTCCATTTATGACTCACATTTCCCAAACATCCATATGTTGTCGCAGAAGGTCTTTCACTTTCCTTGATTCATGGTGAGCTGTAGTCTTGGCAGCCCACCAAATAAATGTAATAAAACCACTTCCCCCCTACCCATCAAAAATAAAAATGAAATCCCATTTGCAGTGAGATTTAATTAGCAGCCTGTAAGTCATTTCAGCACTAAAAATGTGCACATTTATGTTGTCTTATAGCCTGATTTGCACCTTCATAGTCTCCAGTAATATGAAACAACGAGTTCACATTCCGCTTGCAAGTTCTGTGGCATTAAAGTTCCAGTAAATTTGGACAATCACACAGAGGCCTCTCCTAGATGTCACCTTTTTGCATCATCACCTATTTTAGAGTTTAATGATACCTATGAGTTTTAACACTTTCAGGATGGAGCTGACAACAGTAATTTTGCTGAAACAGCCAGCCTGTCAAGATGCCTGTGATCACAGGAATTGGCATGACATTTAAAACACCCAGAATAGAAGTAACTATAACCATCACCTCTCCTGAAGTTTCAGAATGAGAAAAGCTTGTGTGTGTGTGTGCATGTGAGCATGCCTGTGTAGAAGTCTGTAAAAACACATTTCCTATTCCAGTCTGTTTTAACATGTAGTTATTACTCTTCCACACTTTAGCAATACCTCATGAAATATTGTAGAAGGCATCTTTCCAAGAGGAATTCCCCTACTGGGTACATTTCAGCTTTATTTAGAGTAGACATAGAGGTGCGTTTGAAGAAACTTAGGGGAAGCTTTTCTTAGGGGAAGCTCTACCTCCAAGCGAAGGTAGCCTAGAAACCCTCCCTGTTGTTTTCTGCCGAGTGCCAAAGATCATCTCTTCAGATGGGTAGCTGAGGAAGAGTTTTGTTTTCTCATTTTACCAAGTGGTTGCTGAGGTTTTTTAATTTGAGTTTTAATGGATGTGTTTTAAACTGCTTAATTATGTTTTAACAGAAAAATCTGTTTTGTGTTTTAGTGTAATTTTATTCTGCGTGAGCTTTCCTGAGTCCCTATTCAGGGAGAAAGAAGGGATATAAATCACAATGTAGATAGATAGATAGATAGATAGATAGATAGATAGATAGATAGATAGATAGATAGATAGATAGATAGATAGATAGATAGATAGATAGATAGATAGATAGATAGATAGATAGATAGATAGATAGTAGAGATGGGGACGAAGTGCCAAAATGGTTTTTCATCTTCCTTCGTGGGTCATCTAACCTGATGACCCATGAACCACAAATTACTCCCCCCAGCCCCGGGGATTGGATTCCCTTCGAGCAGGATTTAGCAAGCTGCCCAAGGGAAAACCCATCTCCGCTTATGCCCCTGAGGAACAGCTGATCCACGGGGACATAAGCAGATAAGGAATGGACAAATATAAAAGGGTTGTGTTCGTTGCTTCATATTCATTGGGGTGTCTAGACCCCAAGAATATGAAGCAACAGATATCTGATGAATCAGGGATATGTAATGAATGTCCTGATTCTTTTTTTAATTTGTCCTCATGTCTAATAGATAGATGGAAAGATAGATAACATTCTTCTTGCTAGTAGAAAAACTCAGATAATTATACTAGCAGAATCCAGAAGTTGAGAAAGGTAAGCTCAAGTCTGTGAAGTCAGAGTTATCAGAATGCTCATGGTAAGATAAAGGAAAAAACTTATTTTTATTATTTCAAGAAATTCATTCCAATTGAAACAATAAATACACTTAGGCTTGAATAGAGGAGTTATATGTGTACAAGTGTGCTGCAGGCCAAGAGGGACGCAGTCAGCCAGATATCACACTGAGCCAGACATTAGAGATGAAAGGGGGAGGAACCATCTTCTTGGCAAAGGAAGGGTGATGATTTAAGGAAGAATCAACCTAAGAACAACAGGTTACCAACTGGTCACTTACCAAAAAAAAAAAAAAAAAAAGGCCAAGATACTTAAGCCTCCCAACTATCTTTTTAACCACAGACATCAGTTACTTTAAATACAACTGATCATGCCACCAAACCAAATCTGATTTTTAACTTTCAGAGTTGCAAAATTTGTTGGGGATATCAAGACACCCTTTATTTCCTTGTGTGTGTATATGTTACAGAACTAAGATGTTTTTGTCATCAAATGTATCTTTCCTGTGCCTTATTTTAACCATATATAAACTAAGAGAGTGAGAACAAGAACTTTCAATAACAATATACCAAAATATTTAAACAAATTAAAAGACAATGGGCCACAGGCCTCTTACTATGTGGAGATTTAATAGAAGCGATATTGTTTGCTTTTGTATACCAAGGAAGTTGGGATGTAATCACACATGCCAAAAATCCTAGTTATATTGATTTTGTGGTTTTTTAAAAATTGTTTTGTAAATTTCCATTCACATAGCATGCATATAACATTGGTTCATTTGGCCAGACAATTGGTTTCCCCCACCAACTGGCATGGCCTTTTAAAAATGATCCAGTCCTTGTATCTATTTAATCCTTATCTATTCATCCTATGTGAATACAGCCATCAATTTATTTACTGTGTGAACAGGTCAAGTCTTGGGCACCATGGCCACTGCATTTCCACCATGCTTGTACCCTTTAAAAGACAAGTTAATAAAATGTTTAGCAATAAATCGCTTACTATCTGTGGAAAGTTCTTGCAGCAGCAGCAGCAGCAACAGGAACTCCATTGCTCAGAGGAAGACAGCCTTCCCCAGCAACTGGTCTAAAAAGGAAGGATGGCAAAAAGATCTGCAGGTTGTGCATCAACTATCAGTTAGAAGTGACAGGAAAATAGCGATATATCACTTACATTTAAAAACAAAATTAGATCAGTGGGGACCAAGAAACAGGATGGAAAATGAATAGATTTATGAGGTGGCACGTGTAGCTTACAGAACTGCTCCAAATAGTAAGATATGAACCAACTGAATTCAGTGGTATATATACCATGTGACTATACATACATACAAATATATTGATACAGAAAAAGGAAAACAAAATCAATTCAAATGGTCTGTGTGATTAGGCCATTGGTTTCCATTGCCTCTTTGCTATTTATTTTACCTTTAAATACCTTGACTACAATGCAAAACATTCAACTGAATTAACTATGTGCCGGTTATAGCACTGAAACAAGTGTAGATTAATTCACGCAGATCTGTCATGTTGTTTACAAACAAGAAGGCTGCTACAGACTCATATCTGTGAAAGATCTGATTATGTGAGATGCTGAGCTAATGATTTGCAGAGAATTTTCTCTCAAAAGTATGCAATGGATATCACATTTTCTGGCAAAAGCCTACTTATCGTTTAGTAAATGATAAACAGCCAAAGTGTCCAGTTTGGATTTTTTTAAAAAAAAGTTAATTATGCCAAATTAGCATATTATGGGCAGAATCAGTGTAATATCAGGTTATGCCCCACTATAGAACATGCAGCTCAATCCCACTATACAGCACACAGCCCAATCTTCATCTGAAAGTGAATCCAATTCATTCTAAACATTTACACCAAAGTATAGCACACAGATGACTCCAGCCTTTAAAAGTTTCACTGGCAGTTTGGAAGGGAGAAACTCAAAACACAGCATGAAAACTAGACACTAGATATATAATGTAACTGTATATTTATTTCTTTTTTAAAGAACACTCCTTAAATGTATTGCAATTCAATATACAAACGTGTTTTCACAGAATTATAATCCACTAAATAGCACAGAATATAACTCAGATCTTTGTTGACCCAGGTGTAGATGTGTATATTTGGAGGGCATCCAATCATACCTTCCAATATATAAGCAATGGTTCCTCCCAGTCTTCTCCCAAGACAATAAAATACTATAAATGCCCTAAATGTTGAAGGATATCTTTACTTTGCCCACTGACCTTTCCTCTTTGAAAGACATGCAGATACAACCATTTTCCTTCCAGCAACCATGTTTGCTTGCGCTAAACGCCTCTCTGTTGTTTTGGTGTCAAGAGATGTTTGTGAGCATATATGCATCTTCTACACCCTTCCTGTCATCTACCATAAAGCCTCTGCAAGTGAAATAACTTGGCAATATGACTAAGCTCCTTGCTATTGGAGACCCTTTGATTCTAGTATGCAGTGCCCAGCACTGACTGTCAAGGTACCGGGCCAGCCGATAACCAAGATCTATCTAGCCATATGTACTTCCTCTCCTCAGATGAAAACTTGATTCCTCTATAGTCAAGGCTAAGGGAGCCAGAGTTCCATCCATTAAAAAAAGAGAAAAACGAAAAAGAAAAGAAAGACATTTTGATAATGATATGTGGTGACCTATTGCCTGATCCTGCTTCCATTTAAGTCAAGTTCACAATGTCCCTTGACTTCACTTGGAACAGGATGAAGCCTCTAAACGTTCAAACATCCATATGAAATTGCACCAGTTTTTGAATTCGCATATATTTACATGGGGTGGAATGTTTTCCCATATTCTTTAAAGGAGCATATAGATCAACATGTTCACATAAGACCAAATTTTTAATATATTTATAACGGTTTTTATAAAGCTTTGAAAAAACTCACAATAGCACATGGTTTTACTTTAATGCTTTACGGTACTATCTTTTTAAAATCACAACCAGCACTTTAAGTTATAGTCGATCCAGCAAACAAGAGACAAAAAAAATACAAGAGTTAAGAATGGACTGATACATCCTTTTATCTTATTTCTTTTAACTAATGCATAAGTGCAGGATAAGATAAGATGCTCTAGTTTAAATATCTTGTTTACAATATACATTTTTGTTCTAATAATGCAACAGTAAATCCCATGCTTCACATAGAAAAGCAATCCGCAACATTAAGAAAAAATGTACAATTTATGAAACAAAGTAAATAAATATTAGTATTACAGAATCAGAGCTGTACATAAAAGCTGTTCAGTTTTAATCATATAAAAATATTTTAGTGCAACCTCACATATATATTGATGCTTTTTTTGTTTTTTGCTTTACATCATTTAGGTCAAAGTGTCCCCAAAAGGAAAGAAATTACATTTATTACAAAGCAGATACACAAATTCTAAAATATGTACAAAGTACTGCTAAAAAATGCTTATAAGAATATAAGCAAAAGTAAAGAAAAGGCACAAACACCTGTACAGGTTAAAAGTACCAGACCCAATAAGAATTTTGAAATTTCATTTGGTCAGGCTCATGATGACTCGTAGTTTTACTCAATTCTTTTGATGTAACAAAAGTATACATAATAGCAAACTACTGTAACTTAGAACCAGCATGCTATGAAGTTGAAGACTTCCTTCTATCACTAAGGGCGATAAAGGGGGCAGGAGTAAACACATGTATTAAAGTCTTCACACATTGTAAATCACTGCAGTTTGCTTTTTTCGGAGGGTGGGTCTTTCCTTTCCTGTGTGCTTGATGGGGAATCTTTCCTACGAGGATAACCTAACTGTCTGACATCCACACTGCTTTTGCTATAAAAGGTGGAATGAGATAACGCCGTCTGTGATGTACCCAAAAGGTCCTGTTCGCCACTGTGCAAGTCAGGGCTGGTGGCTGAGGCACAGGCCAGGCCTGGCTCAGAGCCACTAAAGTGTTTCATGCTCAAAGGTGCACTTTCCGAGGGCGTCTGTGGAGGCTCAGGATCCCTCTGTGGCAGCTCTGTCCTGTGTAGAACCTCCTCGGGGGCAATGCGGAGAGAGGCTATGGCTTTTGTACAAGTCTGGATGTTCTCCTCCTGCTCCCTCTCGACCCCGCCTTCTTCCGAAGGGCTCTTCCTCATGGATCGCAACTGAGCAGGCAGTGCACACTTGGTGTGCAAAGTGGGAGGGCAGGTGCGTTTCTCGTGGGACTTTGCAATGACACATGGCTCATTAGTCATGGCTTCAGAAGCTGCTCTTTTCTTCTCGCCAGAGCCCTCTTTCGAGAGGGACAAAATGGACGGAGGATGTAGACCAGACAGGGCTGCCGGGATTGAATGGACCATCTGGATGCCCCCAATGGGCATCATGGGGATGGGTGCACGGAGCTGTTGCTGGGAGTGTAAGGGAAGGTGACTAAAGACATAGTCAGTAGGACCTTCAGGATACAGGCTAGGTCCATGATGCTCCAGAATTCCTTTTTCTCCAGGCATACTGAAATAGGACCCCTGGAACAGGCCTGGTCTTGAACTCTGCAAGCAGAAAGAGAAATTAAAAATCAGACGACCACACAACATCAATAGCACACTGTTCTATTTAGGGGTTGGGGGAATCTACTGTAAAGTATTTTTGTCACCCACATTAATTGACAATAGAGATGGGCACAAATCACAAAAATGTTGATTCATTTTGATTCATGATTTGTCAAGGAAAATGAATCACAAATTATGCATTTACGTATTATTTCTGATGAATTGATGAATCAATTTGTCAATTTATTTATTTATTTATTTGATTTATTTGATTTATGCCCCACCCATCTGGTCTAAAAGACCACTCTAGGTGGCTTCATGTTTTAGAACCCTATAAAGTGCCCCCCCCAAACCTAGAAACACCAAATTTGCAGGGAGGCTTCCCATGACTCTCTCTTACAAGTCCTGCAAGTTTGGTCAAGTTTGGGTTTTAGACGACCAAGTTATACATCCACAAGGAAGGTCCCTCAGGAAAATTGCCCCTAGGCACCTAGACACCAAAATTGTTTTTCTTTTTTTTCTTTTTTTATTCTTTTTTTTTTTTTTTAGACACCAAAATCACAGAGAAGCATCTACAGACTCTTCTTTATAATCCCTCCAGGTTTGGTGAAGATTAGGTTTTAGACATCCATGTTATATACACACAAGTTGGGTCCCCCAGGAAAGTGCCCTTTAGCAGCGGGCTTAGGGAAACCACAACTTCACCAAACATGGAAAGACTGGAGAGGAGAGTCAGAGGAAGCAACTCTGTGATTATGGTGTCTCAAGGTGCCTGGGACAATTTTCCTGGGGTAGGCTCCTTGTGGCTATATACCATATTTTCCATGTATAAATAGACACTTTTTCCTAAAATAATTAGAGGAAAATTTGAGGGTCGTTTTATACACGGAAGGAGGCAGTCGCACACATGCTAAGGCGCTTCTTGCTGCTGCCGCCACCTCACGGCTTGTCCCCTCCAACAGTTATTTTCAAAGGGTTTACCTTCATTACCAGCTATAACTCTGAATTTCTCGGAGCTCCGTCTCGACACCGCCGAACGCAAACTCCACCCAACCGGAAGTCTTCTCCTACAAGGCACAGTCTTGGCCCCTCCGGTGGTGTAGGCAGCAGGAGGCAAAGGCAAACAAGCACTCTCTCACGCTTGGGCACCTCTTCCTGCTGCCACCTTCGGATCACCTCCTTCAGCGATCATCTCCTTAGGGTAGGGGACAAGGCGGTGAGGTGAGCTGGAGGTGAGCCCCGGCAATCGCAGTGGAGGAGCTGATCGAGTAGGCAGCAGAGGCAGCAGCAGCAGAAGACGGAGGTGGAGGAACAGCTGCCCATTAACTGCTCCTCCACCTCCATTAAGGGTCAACATTAAGGGGTCGTTTTATACATTGGTGGGGTCTTATACACAGAAAAATACGGTAACTCAAATGTCTGAAACCCAAACTTCACCAAATGTGTAGGCCTTGTAGAGGAAAGTCAGGGGAAGCTTTTCTGCAAATTTGGTTGTTTCTCTAGGTGAAGAACACAAAGAGGATTTAATAAAAGGAGTTTTTCAGCACATGACGCTTTCCTCCCATAACTCATGAGGTTAACTTAAATTCTCCTGAACAGGAAAGCCTCTCATGGAGGGATGTGGGCAACACCCCCAACTTGATTTTGTTTGGCCTGTTGCCAGTACTGCTGAATTTTGCTCAAGAGATGCCAATTTTTAAAAATAGCACGGATTTACTCTCCCATGCTGCTTTTTGAGGGCAGGTAAAAAGAACTATCTGAACACAGCATCTGCTGGAAGAATGCGGATGGGCACTCAAGAAGCTCTAACGAAATGTTTCCTGGTTTCTCCATAAAACAATACGTATAATTTCAGGTTTTTACTCAATCATAGGCTGAGTCAAGGGTGGCTCTCCAAGTATTGCTGGATTCCCCTTAGCCTAGCAGCAAAGGAAATGGTAAGGAATTTTGGGAACTGTGGTATAGCAACATCAGGGGGGTTACATATTCCCCAATCCTGTGATAAACAAAGATGGCCCTGGATTAGCATAAATTCTTGACTCATCTTTATTTCATCTCAGGATGATGGGCGCAAACTAAGTCCCAACCACTGTTTCCACAATGTGCCATATTAAAGTGCCCTGTAACTCTGAGTAAAGAGCCACTGGATAAAGAAAGTAAGAATCTGTGGCTGCACCACCTTGACATTCTACCATCTGAGTAAACCAGGCTTCATGATTTGGGACAGTGCTGCTATATTGGATATGTGTGTGGATCATAGCTACCAAGTCTTTGGAAGGCTGGATGATGTCTGAGAGAACCCTGAAGGAAAAAGACATAAACTCTGGATGTAGGTGCATTCTTGCATCTCACTTAGGAGCCTGGCTTCCCTAAACATGAAATTTGGGGCCCTTGACTAAGGCACCAGAATTGTGTAGCTGGCACCTGGGTCAGCTGCATGTCCTGCACATTTCATGTTTGGAGAAGATGGGGAGAGCAGCAAACAATGCCAGTTCCTTCTTGGTTTTGTCAGTGAAGTTTCAGACAGCACACAGTATCCTTCCTGCAGTAGTATCCTACAGTTCTGTTCATTTTATAATTTTATATTTTTTTTTCTATCATCACACATTTTATGTTCCAACATTGCTATTCTTCGGCATCCAGATTCTATTCTTTCGTTCCACAGGGAAAGATGTAAACAGTAGACAACAATACAGAAGGATGATAAAGGGTCTTGTCTGGAGGCAGGTGCATATTCTTGGAGAGATCCTGACATTTCCATCCTGGTTTGCCCTTCTCTCATGATATCATGGTTTGCTTGTAACAGGAGGTAAATTATTTTCTGCACTCTACCACTCAAGACTGCCAGGGGCTCAACAAACTGAAGCTCTTTTCATATGCAGATTTTTCAGTATATAAAAAAGGAGGAAATCAGGGAGAAGATTGGTATCCTACACTAGAACTGAGTTTTTAGAACTAGATTTATATATTCAAAGATTTTATTTCATTCATTCATTCATTCAGAAGCATGTTGTCACACAAGTCCATAGTTGTTGCCTAAAGTGCTGACCAGATGTCTCACACCCCATCTGCTCTTAGTGAGAATTTTAAAAGGGAAAGGTTCCCCTTGACAATTTTGTCCAGTCATCTCTGACTCTAGGCAGCAGTGTTCATCTCCGTTTCCAACACATAGAGCTATCGTTTGTCCACAGACAATCCTCCATGGTCATGTGGCCAGCGTGACTAGACACACAGAATGCTGTTTACCTTCCCACCAAGGTGGTACATATTTATCTACTCGCATTTTTGCATTTTGCATGCTTTCAAACCGCTAGGTTGGTGGGAGCTGGGACAAGCGATGGGGGCTCACTCCGTTGTGTGGATTCGATCTTACGCCTGCAGGTCTTCTGACCTTGCAGCTCAGAGGCTTCAGCGGTTTAACCCATAGCGTCACCATGTCCCTTTAGTGAGAATTTAGCTTGTACCAAAATGAACTGATGTGGCCAATCATCTAGAAGGCTAGTTGGGAAGGGAAGGGAATGCAACTGAGCAATAAATAGAAAGAATGAAAATAGTGCACTCAGATGCAGCTCTTGTAACTAAAATCACTATATTCTTCAAGCTAGACCTGAAACAAATGAGACATTACAGATACACTATGAAAATGGAAAGGTACTTTTCCCTTCAGTGACAGGAGATTAAATTTCTTACAGAAAACTCTTGAAATGCAGGAGGATACATTACTGTATATGCTTCAGTGTATGCATTCAAGATTTTGTGCCTTTGTTTGCTCATGAATCAGCACAGCCCCCGTTTTAGTCTTACATAATCACTCTCCACTGCCTGGTGTAGTGGAATTTAAATGTAAAGTGGAAATAGATCCATTTATGGCAACCTACATATTTCTGTTTTTGCGATTTATGTTACCCCATGGGGAAGCTGTATCTAAGGGAATAACCTGGCAAGTGGCCTTCCCCATCTTCTCACTGTAGCTTCACATGATCTCCAAACACCCTCCCTCGACCATCCAGGACACTAACAAAAAGCACAAGGTATACAGCAAGATGTTGCAATTGGAGTGAAGAATCAAGGAAAACTAGGCAGAGATAGGTGCTTATGTGACTGACTCAGCCCTCAGTTGCTTCCAGGCAGTTCCACTGAGGATAAACAAACCGGTATGATTTGTCCCAATCCCAAAGAAAGGCAGTGCCAAAGAATGCTCCAACTACCGTACAATTGCACTCATTTCACACGCTAGCAAGGTTATGCTCAAAATCCTCCAAGGTAGGCTTCAGCAGTATGTGGACCGAGAACTCCCAGAAGTACAAGCTGGATTCCGAAGAGGCAGAGGAACTCGAGACCAAATTGCTAACTTGCGCTGGATTATGGAGAAAGCCAGAGAGTTCCAGAAAAATATCTACTTCTGCTTCATTGACTATGCAAAAGCCTTTGACTGTGTGGACCACAACAAACTATGGCAAGTTCTTAAAGAAATGGGAGTGCCTGACCACTTTATCTGTCTCCTGAGAAACCTATATGTGGGACAGGAAGCAACAGTTAGAACTGGATATGGAACAACTGATTGGTTCAAAATTGGGAAAGGAGTACGGCAAGGCTGTATATTGTCCCCCAGCTTATTTAACTTATATGCAGAATACATCATGCGGAAGGCTGGACTGGAAGAAACCCAAGCCGGAATTAAGATTGCCGGAAGAAATATCAACAACCTCCGATATGCAGATGATACCACTCTGATGGCAGAAAGTGAGGAGGAATTAAAGAACCTTGTAATGAGAGTGAAAGAGGAGAGTGCAAAAAACGGTCTGAAACTCAACATCAAAAAAACTAAGATCATGGCCACTGGTCCCATCACCTCCTGGGAAATAGAAGGGGAAGATATGGAGGCAGTGTCAAATTTTATCTTCCTGGGCTCCATGATCACTGCAGATGGAGACAGCAGCCCTGAAATTAAAAGACGCCTTCTTCTTGGGAGGAAAGCGATGACAAATCTGGACAGCATCGTGAAAAGCAGAGAC